AAAGGTCAAGATTACAGCTTCTTTAGCAGCAACAAAAACTAAAGAAAGCTTTGCCAAGAATCTTGAAGAAATTTTGGCCTTACTCAAGATAAAAGGAGAGCCTTCTAAACATTCCTTACCAAGCTCCTCCCAGTCGATATCATCACTAGAAGACTTCAATCAAAATGAAGATGACTGCTTTGGTATAAACCTAGCAGAAATCTAACAATCATTAATCCATTTAAATATTAATCATGTTATTTTTATTTAATGGTGGATATATTCACCTTACTTATTGGGAATACCCTGCTCCGTATATCATTGTGGTTGTTTTCCGACACCATTTTAACCCAGCAATTTATGTCGATATTTACCCGGTCTAAAGTGATACTTTCATTACAAATAGTTCCAGTCATGATACCAGTTCTGTAGAAACAGTGTCATTTTACAAACAGTTACAGTCATGATACCGGTTCTGTAGAAAAAGTGTCATTTTCAATTCTTTAAAAGGAGTCCTCGACCATGATGTGAGGCACCCTTTCATTTTACAATATCTTAGAGAGATAGTTTAGATAGAGAAGCTCTGCTGAGATACTTCTTTGTAAGATTTTCTCATTAATAAAACTTTCTTTCTTTGATCATTTCTTGCATTTATTTCATAAAGTCTTTGTGAAAATCTGGGATTTGTAAGCCTGATTCCTCAGGTGTGCCCTTGATACCCAGTATTGTGCGGACTACCGCCGTATAAATCTGGTTCTCTGTTGCATTTTTCCTCCCAGTATTGTGCGGACTACCGCTGTGTAAATCTGGTTCTCTGTTACATTTTTCCTTTCTCCCCTTTACCCTCCTAGATCCACTTTGGGACATCTAGTATCAATATGATAGAACAAAAATCAATATATATATATATCTCTTAGTTGGTTAACTCAGATGGAACAAGGATTAAGTTATGAACAGAGAAATCTTTTGAGAACCAGGGATAAAAGAGTTGCAATTCAAACAGGGAGCCAATCCGTTTACTAGCTGTGTTTTATTTCGTTTTATTGTGTTATAAACTGAAACCTGAACCAAACCCCCCACTTCGCGTGTGTTTAAGCCTTTAACAGTAAAAGACGGTCCTTGGGAGACGACCTAGGAGTCACTTCCTAGTATTACATTTAATTGTATTTATTTGACCGGATACGGCTTCGATCACCCAGCCAGAAACAAAGTCTGTCCATCTATCAAAATGATCAGACTAAGACGAAGGTCAAGAGTGAGACGCATAGAACTAACAGATTCAAACGAAGACTACCACGCACGCATTTAGAGAATCATGTCTCCAAGGACAGCTCAGGCATCGTGTATGATCATATAAATGCTCTCAACGTAAACGCGTGATCTAAGTGAAGAAACAAAGAAGAAGAAAAAGTACACTACTTTTTCTAAAAAGGACAACAAGGTTCCTAGGTTCTTGCTAAATTTAGACACTGCTGCTACCAAGACAAAGAATACTTCACACAAGATCTATCACAAGAAGCAACATTTAATGCAAGAACTCATGCCTTAAATGTGAAGATTGAACTAGTCATGAACGACTATATTCGCTTTCATTCGACTCTATACGCTCTCTCTATCTCTGGTTTCATTGTTTCATGGGCTTGATATCACTTGTTAATAATGTAAGGCCAATGGCTAGCCGGAAAATCCATATATTCATTGATTTAGGGTAATGTATATATATATATAATATATTGATGCTAAGAATGTTGTGAGTATTAAAACATGTTGATTGGCTTAGGATTAGAGGAAATGTGTTTTTGGAAGTTGAAGATCTTTTATAGGGAATCTTGTTGTAACGTTCTATGAGGTCAATTATTGAAAACTCTCCTTGAGTAGGTGTGAAACTCTTGGAGTGAATTTTGTTGAGTCTTTTCTAGGTCTTTAATTAGTGTGAAGTAAAATATGAATTTGCGGGCTGCAATCCTTAATTGATTACTATAAAGGTTGTGTTGTGTGATTACTTGAGGATAGTTAGTGGATAATTTCATGTGTGACTTGATAATGTATGTCAAGGTCATGGTACGCCAATAGTCGACTATATTAGTCCTAATGGTAGAATTAGGCTTTTCTAGTGTAAGTGATGACCTCTGAAAAATCAAAGAAAAGATTGGTGTCCCATTTTAGTTGTCAATTTAGTGGACACATTGGGTGTGAAAAACAATCGGGTAGGTTTGGTAAGGTCAAGTCACTTAGGCTACTCAGACGTATTAGGAAATCTCTATAGGTGAATGCGTGAGTATGCGTGTTTACATATGATGTGGTGTGAGTTAATTATGTTCATATGCATGACATGAATACTTTGTTGTATGGTATGATTGTGGTGAATGTTTTAACTTGCCTTGGTATTTTAGCTTTCAAACATGGTGATTGTGGTGGATGTGGATCCATTGGTGTACTTGCTTGATTTGCTTGATGGTGTTGAGTATAAATGCTTTATTCCCATACTCATTTTATTTTTAAAATCTAATTTATCATTGCGTGTTTTTCTTGTAGAGTATGATAATCATGATTTTCATGGGAACAAAACACATTAATTAAAGTGAACTTATGGAATTGCTATAGGATTATATTGTTGACGATTTAATTAGTCAATAATTATTTTTGTTGATTCATATAAACGTCATTTGACTAATGACTTTAGAATTTTTATTTTTACATTAACAAATTATTATTATATATATAGTGATATAAACATATTAATTCCAAATATTTAAAATGGTTTTCGCTCCTTATTATTTAATAATTCTGCAAGTGTAATGGCCAAAAAGTTTACTATATGTGTACTTTATAACATTTTTTTTCTTATAACTTATTTATTACTTGTCTCATATTTGATACCGACAAAATCGATAATCCCCTTTGAAACTCGGTCCTAATCACTTTGTCTTTCTTACATCACTCCATGGGACATACAACATGTCAACATGCATCCACCTAGCTATATGTTGCAAATCAAATGGCTAAACATTTAACTTCAATGTGAAAGGGGGGAAAATATCTTTTTCTATTTTAGGAGAATTAGTTCGGTTATTAACTTATGATCTTTCTGTGTTTTGTCAAATCAAAATATGTAAATTAATAGCGTATTATCTTGTCTTCACACCTAAATTAACAAAAGGATGAAATATTATCATAAATAATAACTATTTAGTGTAATGGTTTATTTAATATTTTACAATTTTTAAAGATTTAATTCATTTATTGATTTATTAATTTATATTTTTAAATAAATTTAATTAACATCTAAATATATTTATTCACTATATCAATTTATTTATTAATTTAGAACTCTGAAATAAAATTTTATTAACATAATACTAAAATTTATTATTATTTTACATTTTTAAATAAAACTTAATTAGTTTACTAAAGTAATATTTTAGTATTTATTCATTGTAATAACTTTTTTTTACTATTTAATATTTTTAAATAAAATTTAATTAATTTATTAAAATAATATTTTTTTAATATACACAACATCGTAGACACTATAGTGCACTTGTGCACCCTGAATCACATTATATATGGTTTTGCAGTAGCCAACACTCTATTAGACAAAGGCCAGCATGCGTAGCATAGTCATATCAGTTACGGTGTGTGAGTTGTGACTAATCTCTTCAAAGGTAGGATAGTTGGTTCTATCAAGATTTAACGCAACTATATATATAAGGTAGGATTCGAACTCTTAATTTTATTTAAACGTGGATCAATCCTTATTGTGGAACCAATTAGTCATTAAATAAATAAATTAAATAATTAATATGTAAGATTGGTGGTGGAATAACGCATATGAGTAATAATATAACATTACTTAAACTGAAAAAAAAATTTGAAAACTTTGTATATTGAAAAAGAGACGAGAAAACATAATTTTTCATGTACAACTTAGTATCATGTATAATTTATTTTTCTCCTTTATCTTTGGTTTATCTTTCTTTCTTATCGTGAATGATTTTTTTTTTCTTGTATATTATTATTTGGGTTTAATGCTGACATACTGTCAGACATTTGTATAAAAAAATTTATATTATTAATTAATCAGAAAGTATGATTTATATGATTTTTAAATTAATTATTATAAAAGTTAACAAATTTAATTATGTAAATTATTATTATTATTAATAAAGAAAGAAGAAAGAAAGATTCTTAACATAATTTTACTTTATCATCTAATCAAAATTTACATGATTAAGATTTATTAACTTTTATAATAATTAATTTAAAAGTTATATAAAGTATGATTTATAATTTATTGATAATATGCGAAAAACTTTTACATTATCGATATTTCACTATTAAATTCAAATAATAATTCGAAAGAAAAAGAAATAAAATATTTGCGAGAAGAGAGAAAGATAAGCCAAATATAAAATAAATAAATAAAAAAAGAGAAAAAAAAAATTATATATAAAACTAAGTTCTACATGAAATATTATGTTTGCTGATATTTTTTAAGCATACTGTAATTTTCCATTCATTTTCGCAATTTGAACAATGTTCTGGTGCTACTCATTTGTTATTCTACCACCAATCTTACACATTAATTATTTAATTAAATTATCTAATGGTTAATTAGAACTCATGCACCCTAGGTGATATGACTATGTTACACACATTGGTACTACTATTATTTATTTATTTATTTATTATAGATATTATCAAACATTTTAAGTTTAATTATAAGTAAATTTTAACTAATTTTATTATATTTAATGTTATTATATCTAAAATACTTTCATTTAATTAAAATTATATTTTGAAAGATATATTTTTTTCTTAATAACAAGTTTTAATATAGAATAATATAGGGAAAAATATTTTTAATTAAGATTAATAAAATTAAATAATACTAATTAACTTTTTAAATTTACATTTTTACTATGCAGTTGGATTAATAATAAAAACTTATTTGCAACCAAATTGAGGTTGTTTAAGAAGAAAATGCATGAATGAATTAAAGTGATCCTAAAAATAAAATAGAATAAAAATATTGAAGGTATATATAAAAGTGGGAACGCAATCGGAGATGCTTGTGCAGCTATCGGTGTTTTCATTTGAGAGTTGCAGTTTGGCAGTTAAACGCGTTCTCTTCTCTGCATCCATCAGATCGGTACGGTACCATCTCTTCTTCCTTTCTTACCAATAATCTCCTACTTTTTCATGCTATTATTATTATTATTTGTTCTTGAATTGGTTTGATCCATGTTATTATCATTGAAATCAATGAGATTCTTACGATTATCTGTGAAAGGATTTCTTGCGTTTGTTTCTGAATGCCAAAACTGTTGCGGTTTTGCTTAGTCACAATTTCGCGATTGTTTGGTGTGTAGAGTAAGCAATGTCGGAGGCTAAGGTTGAGGATGTGAAGAAGGACGAGGAGGTTGTTGGTGATTCCCCTAAGAACGAAGTCGACAGTGAAAAATCTGTCGATGATCTGAAAGATGCGGACATGCCTTCGTCGCAGCAGGAGGTAATTGTTATTGTTATTCAGTGAAATGAATTTTGTGAGAATTGCTTCTGGAAATGAGGTGGCAGTTTTTAGTTTGGGAATGTTGGTTTTCGGTAATTGGTGTGGAGATGCTAAGAAAAAAACATGGAACATAGTTGATTTTGGGTTTGGCAGCGAAGCATGGTAGCAATGCCTAAAAGAATAAAATATGTTGAGTATAAGGTTCTATTCTGATTCAGATATAGGTTCATCGATGTAAAAAAGTATAAGGTTGTATTCTTCAATCTTATCCTTGCTTCGTCATCTTTTCTTTATGTTACTTTTACCGTTTTACATGAAATTGTCGGAACAATCAGTGTTTGTGTATCACTTCGCTGTATTTCGTTTATATGTGTGAATTTTTAGATTTTAAGTGGGTTTTGATATTGCTGAAATCACTTCTTAAGCGGTCAGATATATTGTGCCTTAATGATTGAGGGTTTCTTTAAATGGATAAAACTTAGATGTAGTACCATAAGTACTTTTGGTGCTGTTTTCTAATAAGAATTGAAGTTTCACATCAGTAATACTCATTAACATTTAATGGAGTCTTTTATTATGTAGATTTTGAGGTAAAACTCTAATTCTAATACGAGAATAATATTAACAACACCTATAGTACTATATCTAAGTTTTATACTCTTAAAATTTATTTCAATTTTTTTTTGGTTATTCTTGGTGTTAAATCTAATATTATGGGCTTAGATTATTATGTTTTGGTATCATTTGTTGTAAATCTGTTCTTGCAGGAAGAAGCGATTAAGAAAAAGTACGGAGGGATGTTGCCAAAGAAGCCTCCACTAATATCCAAGGTTACTTCCCTATCTTATTTGATTTTGCTTCTTCAGTGCTTCTCTTCCTCCTGTCATCCGATCATCTGTGTGAAATGATCTTTTGAAACTGATTTTTCTTCATGAACAACAATTTTTTGCAGGATCATGAACGGGCTTACTTTGATTCTGCTGATTGGGCTTTGGGGAAGGTATTCTCTGACCTAGGATTAGGAAATACCAGTTTATCATTATTATATGAACACTTCTAATTTAACTTATAATATATTTTATTTAGATGCCTGATATTTCTAGTTTTTCTTCTTTATTTTTCAAATAGCAAGGAGCACAAAAGCCTAAAGGACCACTTGAAGCACTCCGCCCAAAGTTGCAGGTAAAATTATGTATTGTGGGTGTTTTCTTTTTCTTGTTCATATGAAAAATTAGTGACTATATTTTCTGCATTGGGTTAGTTTCATAACTGAGGTTCCTCCATGTCTATTTTAAGTGTGTTTGCAATGATTATTCTAACCCCAAATAGACCCAGATTAAATTGCACAACCATTACGAAAACTGGATTTTGTTTTTGGGATTACTCCTTTGCTATGCTGCAAATGTGCTGTATTCTTGATGCAATTAACTTGGGAGTTAGTGCAACCATCATCATAATCCCTTTTCTTGTATTTGCAGTGAAGGTTTTTAACAAAAATTTTGGGCTGAACAGGGAACAGGATTCCTTATTTTGACATTTTTTTGAAGTAACCATTGATCCATTACATGATTAATATAACTTAATATATTGCAATAAAATAAATGTTTTATTATGCATATCATTGAAATTTGTATCAATTTTATTCACATTGCTGTTTTGTTTCTGTTCCCCTTCTTGGGATCTTTACCTTACCCATACTGGTAATCAGCCAACACAACAGCATGCTCGTTCAAGACGCTCAGCTTATGCTCCAGCAGATGGTGAAGGTACTGTTTTTCTGTTCCAAAAAGTTGAAATCTGTGTTAAAATTCAATAAGGTTTTGAGGTACCTTTCTTTTTTGACAGTTGATGGCAACAATAGCTCATCACCAGAGCATGAGAGTGCCTCTGAAGATGTTGACGGTGATAAAAGTGATACTGCTCATGACCAGAGCTGCCATTAGAAGATATAGGTTTGACCTATAATTTGCATTTTGACTCAGTGATGCATTTTCTCTGAATTCAGTAGCAAACGATCATACATATTAGAGTTGCTTGTGCTAAAAACTAGAAGTTGAAGTTTTGAAACAGTTGTAACCATGAATTAGATATAACACTTCGCATGTATGAGATTATATGATGTGCTGGGTTTGCACTATGAGAGATCTTGATCTCTACATTCATTTGCGGAGGCACGATTGTGCCATTTGTAACATTTGACATCTTACAAATATAATCGTCTACAATAAGATTGGATATGAAACTTGACAATAATCTGTTTGTAATCGATCAGTATATATGATTATAGTCAAGGCATTTTTTTTTTCTTTTTTATAATGATTACTTATAATCGACGCATATAAGTAACTGGTAAACAGTCTAGTAGAGTTATATTAAAATTAAAATCGAGAGTAAACATCCCTGTGCTTTTGTCACAAGGATTACAAAAGAAAAAAGTACTATCTAAATAAATAACACCCCCCCCCCCCAAGCGTTTTCACTAAGTTCTGATTCATTTCATAATTTTATTCAGTTATTATGCCATTTCTTTTCTACGGAATTCCTCTCATATTCTTTGAGCTTTGGTGTGCGGCCATATTAAGCGAGTGTTACATGTTTCACCCAACAACATTCGGATAGTTTTCGTTTTTTTTTTTTTTTTGGATTATAATATAATATCAAATACATTTTGTCAGGTTACTTAATTAAGCATGTATTTTTATTTTTTTGAAGTTTTGTCTTATAAATCAAAGGGTTAGTTTACAAACTAATAAGTAACAGGTCCTAATCCGATTCATCAAAATTTCTTTATGTTTAAATTTGAGTACTATAGATAAAAAAAAAAAAAAAAAAAAGTGATTAAAAAGATTTTACTAAAAATGGTTAGTTAAGTTTTTCATTCGTTGGCAAACTAGTGGATATTTCGTTATTAGTTTCATACTCATAATAGGGGGGGAAAAAGCTTTGTAAAGGCAAATAAAACTATTGGTTTCCCCACCCATATTTTTTAGTATGTGTAAATAATTTTTAAAAAAATAGAACGTTACATGTATAATTATGAAGTCACTAGATAGAAAGAGACAAGTATAAAAACTTGTTACATCGTGTATACTTTTTTTTTTATTATATACATGAAAAAAGCATTTACTTTAACTCCTTATTACTAGACCTATCTTAGTATCTGAAAAAAAAAAAAAAAAGACCTATCTTAATGATTTTTTGTGTGCAAAGTCTGTTTAAACTTAGAAAATAAGTGTCAATTTTTAATCGGAAGATTTTTTCATCCAACAATTGTTTTACCCTCTATTTGTTTTTCTTCTTTTTGCACTAGAATTCGATTATTTTAATTCATTGGGTATTTTTTTTTTATCACTTTCTAGTTTAAAACAAAATACATTTGAGTTATTTAATATTTCGTAATTTGTAATGTAAAATAACATGATTTTATAGATACTGTAAAAGAACATCATTTTATAGATTATCTAATGATTTGTGCGTTTAGAATTTGAATTTTGTGTGCAAAAGTTTTTAGGCTCTTCTTTTAGTAATTGTAGTTTTTGTGAGTGTAATTTTGGTCTTTAATTTTTTTTTAAATTATTTTTTAATTTTCAAAATTAAGTAATGTGACTTCAACATTAAAATATTATTTAAAATTAGATAGAAAATATATTAATATATTTATGAGTGACATTATCCGTTAGTTATTTAGTTACGCTTACCTTCTAATAGTACTTTTATCATAGATATGTTATTTTTTTTATTTTAATTATAATTTATAATTTAATAAAAATAATTTTAATTTAATTTTTAATATTATTATTTGTTTACATAATAACTAATTGTATGTAATATTACTCACAAATACTTTTCTAACGTTTTCTATTTTATTCTAAATGACATATTTATAGTATATCAACATTGTTTAATTTTTAAAATTAAGAGATTAAATTTGTAATAAAAATTCCTAGAAACTAAAATTACTATTCACGAAAGTATAGAAGGCGAATTTAAGCTTATTTTTTATCTATTAAATCATTATTCCATTTATTATCCAAGATAAGTTATTATTATTATTATTCATAAACATAGTTTACACAATATCTTAAAATTAACAATAAAAAGTCAACTTATGTTAGTGGACGTGATTTTCTTTAGTCAAGTATTATTTTAATTGTAACAACCCGCCTTAGTTGTCATACCATGTGAAATTATTATTACTAGCAGCGGAAACTAAATTACTATAATGTACATGATTAAGAGAATGAATGTAACATACATATATATATAACATGAGTATATAAGTAAAACAACCAAACTGATATAAATAGGATATATACATGTATACAATAATCTTAAATAATCCTACGTCTTAATGCCAATTGAGCATATCTATACAATGTATATCAATAGTACTGCCATAAAAAAAGATCACAAAGTTTGTCTGCAACAACTCCTCAAAGCCTAGTCCTAATTTGCTATCATACAACGTATGATTATCGTAGTCCAAATCACCATGGAAACAAAAAGGGTAAGCTAGAGTTTGAAAACATGTACATATAAAAAACAAGTCTATAATATATAATATCACTCCATATATCATACATGGAAGCTAACACACCCGAAGTAACCATGTACCTCATCCAATCATATCCCACAAAACATCAACAATGCACATGAACGTACCTCAACATACATCATATGCAAACATATCAACTAATGTGTTGTCACGCATTCACCTACAATAATCTCCTAACAATACAAATAGTCTAAGTGATTTCTACTCTATCGAACCAACCCAATCATTTTCACGCCCAAAGCATTGGTTCGATCACAACAAAATGAGATATCAATCATTCCTCTAATTTCTTAAGTCTTATTACTTACACTAGGAAAGTCTGATTCCACCGTCAGGAGTAGTAAAGTTGGGTATAGGCTTACCACAACCTTGACATGTATTACCAAGTCATATATGAAATTTTCCCACTAATTATCTTCAAGGAACCACACAACCTTTCTAGGTACTTAGTTAAAGGTTGTAGCTTTCGACCTCCTACCTTACTCAACCACTAACTAAAGACTTGGAGGAGACTTAACACACCTCAAAACCTAATCTAAGAGACACACCTACTCAATAAGGGTTTTCCAAATAGTGGTCTACCCGAACACCACTCCAAGATACTCTATGTAGGATCTTCAATTTTCAAAATAATTTTCTCTCCTCAAATCCTAAGTTAGCCATTATGCTTTAATGTCACACTGCATTCTCAACACTACACCTCACCATGCATCTATTATATACATCACATCCAGTCAATGCATATAAAGATTAATAACATCAATCATGTATAACATATCAATGCTTAACACCTCAACCAAGAATAGCATACCAATGCTTAACAATTTTATACAATAATAACATATCAATGCTCCGCAATTCATTTAACAATAGCATATCAATCATACATTACATATCAATGCTCATCATCGTTTCAAGTACACAAAGATAACATACCAATGCTTATTATCATTTTAAGTACACAAAGATAGCATACCAATGCTTATTATCATCATCCTACATCCTACAACATGCAATAGACACAAATATTCTATCCATGTTCATCAAATTCACCCATCATACAACATGTATCATCATACAACTTATCTACACCAACAACCTTCACATAAAATGATGCATAGGAAGTTCTACTACTCGTATAATACTCATTTTCATCTCATATGAAAGACAAGAAGATTTTCTACAACTTTCATGAAGAACTCAGGTTCTAATTCTCTCATCTACCATGTTAAAAATTATATAAAAAAAATGTAACAATTTGCCTAAATGTTGACAGTTTGACCTTTGTTCACTAAAAACGTTAGAATTAGAGTTCTAAACCTTCTTTTTAGGTGATTCTAATGTCACTGAAAAGCTAACATCCAAGGCTACAACTTTCATGAATTTTCTCCTAGGACTGTAGCGCTCAACTCAATGTTGTAGCGCTGGATTTCTGCCACCCCATTTTGTCTCATAACTACGATGCTCAACTAGTGCTACAACGCTAAGTGTAGATTTTTCTACACTTTCATGGCTTTTGTCTTCGTTCCTCTCTTACATTTCACTAATTTTTCTCCTAAACATGATCTACACTATTAATCTCTACTAGATTCATTCATGTAACCCCAAAACCACGAGAAAACGCAACATGCATGGATCAAAGCTCAAAGAAAATTATCAACATTCAACCTTCCATCAAGAAAACCAACATCTCAATTTTTTCAACATGCAATCACTTCAAATTCCTTTCCCCCAACTATAGGTTTTCAGAAACCCTACCAATTTTAAGTCTCAATTCATTCAACAACCCCACATGTTAACCAAAAACCCAAGATTTCCAACTTCTCGTACCTTGATTCCAAGCTCTTTGAGGAGGAAGAAGAAGAGAACATAGAACTTCGGGATACTCCAAGGTGGAAGAGAATGAAAAGGAAAAGGGCTCCGAACTCCAATACCTCAAGTCCCGCAACTACACCACGGGATTCTCAGTTTTGAGTCTCAGATATCTTCCCTTAAGAATTAGAAAAAAAAAAAAAAAAAAGTCTTTTGATTCTTGAAATTCCTCTTTCCTTTAATTCAAGATCTCACATTAATGGTAAGTAATTTTTTTAAACGAAGATTGGGAGTATTAGGGTTTATCAATATATTGAAAAATTAAAATTAAAATAATTTAATTTTTCAAATAAAAAAATATTGGTATCACATAAGAAACTAATAAAAATAGAGTAAAAATATATTAATTAAATTTGGGTGTATCATGTTGAAGTACGAAAAATGAGTCCTCATTGTGCTGCAACGATATCTTGGGTTCCCTTCTCACTCAAAGCTTCGGTTTGCTCCATCAATGAAGCCACCCACAACCACAAGTCTCCTACTCTTCAGAAACGGGTCAGCTCGGACGCGCCAAACAAACTCAGCACCGAGTTTCTCTCCCATGACTCGCTGGAAGCTACCACCAAACCATGCTTCTGTGGAAGAAGACATTTCATTGAAGCTGCAACACTGGGAACTACTCTGTTCCCAATTCAACCCTCCAGAGCCACCGACCCACAACGTGATTACACTGTAATTGTTCCTTTGCCACTCACCCAGATAACAGAAAAGAAAAAAGCTTTCATTTTGAGTTCAAATTCTTGCCAAAAATGTGCTTTTGAAGACATAATAGGCAAAAATACTCTTTTTTATTTATTTAAATTTTTGTTGTTTGTTTGTAGGCTTTGCTTAACAAGTTTCACCCACCAAGACCTGATTGGTACGAGGAGTTCTATGCTTCTGTAATGAATTCAGCTACTGAATCTTATGAAGCTGAGGTTTTTTGTTCATTATTCATTTTTATTGGGTTTGTTTCAAGTTTTATTTATTGTTTTGTTTCAGATGGTGCTATGTTTTTGTTGTTATTGCATTGAGTTCATGTTTGGGGTGTTTCCTTGTAAGGTTGCACGGTACAAGTCTCAAATCTTTGGTAACTTGAAGAGGAAGGGTCTAAGAATTTTGGAGATTGGCATTGGAACTGGTCCCAACCTCAGTTATTATGCTACTGGTTCTGATGTAGAAGTTGTTGGCATTGATCCAAACCTGAAGATGGAAAAGTATGCTCGGTCCTCTGCTGCTTCTGCTGGACTGCCTCCTTCGAATTTTGAGTTTATACAAGCTGTATGTATGATATTCTCTCTTGTTTGATGCTCACGTTAGAATGGGAATAGAAAACATGCAATGAAGAGGTTCTGGTCTAAATGATGGTTGATTACTTCTTATTTAAATCAAAACCTTTAGTTAGTAGTGTAGATTACAAAGCTACATGTTTATAGATGCTTTCAATGGCAATGCTTGTGGTGATTGGGGTCTATCCGGTAAAAGCTAAATGTGGATGATGTATATCAATATTCTGTGTCAGAATAATGAAATTTCAATACAGCTGCATCTGAGGCATATAAGCATGTATAAGATAGAAAAATAGAAGCCTTATATCATGATGAACTAGAAATGGAACCTATCCTCTTTATGGATAATGCTCAAGAAGGGAATGAGATTGACACTATTCTTGTTCGTAGGGATTATGCAGTAATTTATGATGACAATGATTATAATTTTTTATTTGTTTTTAGTAATGTTAAAGAAGTATGTTCTTAATTTAGAATTTGAAAAATTTTATTTATATACTTAGAGCCTATTTGGATATAAACTTAGAAGTGCTTTTGAAAGCTTTTCTATTAGAAATAACTCTTTATTTTTAGTAGAGAAACTCTTAAAAGTACTTGTAGTTTGTATTTAATCGGGTTATTATTATGTCTGATTTTTTTTCCAAATATAAATGTATCATGCATGCTTTGTATGTTGTATATTTAAGAATGGCCATATCTCTATATTGTATACGTGTATTGTATCTGTGCAGCACTGGCCTACTATAATAATCAGTAGAACTGGAACATGTACTTTGTCAATTTACTCAATTGATTTTGAAGTTATTCTTATTTTCTGAAACTGGCATTTGCGTAGAGATGTTTCTTTTAGAAGAATTGTCTTTCACTAGATTATTGTTTTATTTCAATTTAATGTTGTCTGTTTGTGTTTGTGTAATTGATCATCAAGTTTTAAAGTTTGCTCTGTTTAGGTTGGGGAAGCTATACCATTAAGTGATGATTCTGTTGATGCAGTTGTTGGAACACTTGTCTTGTGTTCTGTTAAAGATGTTGATATGACACTGAAAGGTAATAAACTTTTAGAGTCTTACGTTTTTGTTTAAATATCTGTTTTTCTCTTGGTGTTTGGTCCATAGAGGCCTTTAAAACCAAACAGGAGCATTTACTAAATCCGTTATTATGTGTATTAGTTTACTTGGCTGTGTTTGTCACAGCTAGGTTGTGTAATTATATTTCTTTAGCTTCTGTTTACTAAATCCGTTACAATATTACGTGATATTTCTGTTTTGTTGAACTTCGTAAAGAAGTAGAAATTTTTTTGAAACAAAGTCTTGGCAGTGTTTGAATGACAAAGGTGATCGAATCATAATTTCTACATTGCTTCACACATGCTCCAGTCTATAATCGATCCTAGAAAAGGACAATTATGCTTGCTGACTGATAACAGAGACATTGGTCGCTATATAGCTATAAGCTTTTAATGTTATGGAAATAACTGTAAGTTGATTGTTTATTTCTTTTTAGTTAAATAGATATGAATCTAAATAGTGATATGTGCTACTCTTTTTATGATGGTAGTTTCTTCTTCACACACATAGTATTGGTGAGAGATGAGAGCATGAGGGGAGTAAATCTTGACTATACAATTAAAATTTAAAAAATAGATGGTTAAAATTAGATTTAACTTAAATAATTTTGACTATCTATGAATAGTCTCATGGACAAAATTAACTCCTCACTTACACCTTCTGTGTGTGTATACATTAACTATGTAACACTGAAATTCAAGTTTATTATCAAATCAATTGCACTTTGCTTGCAGAAGTGATGAGGGTGCTGCGACCTGGTGGACTTTATCTGTTTGTAGAACATGTGGCTGCGAAAGGTGTAAACAACTTTTAAACTCACTGTTGAAAAGGAAACCAGTAGTTTTAGTAAAAAGCTTAATTTTGGTCTATTTTCTGTGTTTTCATGGATGTACAGATGGAACTTTTCTGAAATTTATGCAGAGAGTTCTTGATCCTCTGCAACAGACACTTGCAGATGGGTGCCACCTTTCTAGGGAAACCGGAAACGATATATCCAGAGCTGGATTTTCAAGTGTTGAGCTGAACTTGGCATTCTTGTCTAGTGCTACATTTATAAACCCCCATGCATATGGAATAGCCTACAAGTAGTAACAAAATCATGTCTTTTGTCCACTCATCCTGCAAAGCTACGTTGCTTGGAAAAGATTGTTGCCTTTTTCAGGTACTTCGCTTGAGTGCAGGTTTCAACACAAAAAACTCGTCACCGTAGACCTTGTGCATACTATTTTTCTTGGTTAATTACTCAAATGGAAACTGAATTTTGGGATAAAAACCCAAATAAAATTCCACAAAAAAATTTTCCTGAGGGTTTTCATTTCAAACCTCTAGCACTCAACAAAACAAGAATGTTTTATGAGTTTATTTTGATTGATACAGATTCTGTAGCAATCAAAGGATCCTTCTAATATAACTCATACAACCTTCCAAATTTTAAAGTTTTTAACTCCAAGCCAGTTTGGCCAAAATCTGAGTTATACTCGAAAATTTTCAATGCTTTTTGACCCCATTGGGTACAATTACTGGGATTATGTTGATGCCTGGAATAAAAAATTTTGGTATCAAAATAAGACCAACCGCCATTCGTGGCTAATATATTTCAAAAGAAATGTCCAATATAAGTTCCCCA